GGGTTCAGGGAATCTCGTAGTCGAGCAGTCTCGACTAGAGCTTTCTTTCTTGTTTGTTATTGTAGCTGCAATTTAAATAATCAATTTATGCAAATTTGGAGAAATGATCCGAAATTATAGTTGGCCAAAACAAAACGAGAAACAAAATAAATCTAAAAACAATGTCAATTTGTGGGCCGACAAAATATTCGAGTGACTCAAAAGTGGCTGACAAGAGCTTTTGGAGCATTTGGACGCGAATTTCAGATTTAGTTTAGATTGCAATGTCCAAAATATTTCAAGTATTCTCCAATTCTAGGATGAGGAAAACGAGGAGAAATCTATTTAGCTAAAACTCATTTGTTAGTTTATTTAACTATAGCTCGAGAAATCTTACCAGAGAATAGTTTAACTTACATAACTGTACACGGGTCAATAATGCATACTGTATTCACTGATTCGATCTGATCTGATCAAAGATGATCTGCGCTTCGAGCAGTACGTGTCATATGAAAAGACAGTAATTAAAATTCCCGGGCGAGGCTGCAACGAGCGTTACGTGACCCGGGCACATGCTAAAAAATTGTAGTTAATGCCTATCTGATGAAAAGCTCAAAATAATAACAACTCGTATTAAAATCCAAATACTACGAGCAAACACGCAAAATTTTCAATATCGTAGTTATGCAAGCGAAACAGCGGGGGAGAAGCATGTATTACCATAAAACGAAATGCGAAAGATGAGGCCAGCTCGTGCCATAACAAAGATCCAAAAGTACAGTGAATATTATGAAAAAGAACTGCTGCTTAAAGCATATTTTTGTTGCATAATTTAAATATTTTATTTTAGTATTTGTTATTATTTTTGTAATATTGCTATGTTAAATGCCTTTTTTTTAAACAGCTGAGCTGTTCAAAGAGACCTGACTGTACCACTAATATGAGTTACTTTTATTTGCCGCTATCAATTTAAATGCTGATAGGGAACAGTTTCTATTTCTCGACTGGCTGCTCTCGCAACAATATAATTTGCTGTATATTTTATAATCACATGCGAAGGTCGCAGCTGAAGAGCAATAAAAAATTGTTGTTGCTGCTGCGATAAGGCTAAACATGAATGATCACCAATATGAAAATGAACAGACATACAATAACATTCATATTAAACTATCATACAAGTGCAGATGTAATACATGTATGTATGTATATGCATGTTACATTGTTTTTATTTTTTGAAAGTCTTATACGATTTATGCATTTAACATAGGCGTAGCTGGAATACTGACCTTTTACTTAGTTGTTGTCTGTGCAGCTGATGTTGTTGTAGTTGTTGTTGTATTGCACAGCTTGTTTACTTTTTGCTTTGTGTTGCTCTTCTTTCGTCGTTGTTGTTATTGTTTTTATCGGCATTCGGTAGATTTTTCGTCAAGTTTTCGTTCTCGTTCTCGCATAGTAGGTTTTTGGTATTTTTGGCCTAAAAGGACGAAACTTTGTGCGCTCTCTCACTCGCTCTCTCTCTCTCTCTCTCTCTCCTTCTCTGTGTTTGTAGCCCGCGCACACTCAGCAAATTGATTTTCACTTTTGGCCAAGACTGTCAAAAAAATAACACACACACAAACACATACAGTCGCAACACAGGAATTTTCACTTGTGCCACTTTTTTCGCTGTTTTGTTTTGCTGTTGTAGTTTTTGTTGCATGCGTTGTTTTAGTTGTTGCTGTTATTGAACAGGTTTGTATTGGCTATACAAATTCTTCACCTGGGCCCAAAAAAATCAAAGTAACAGCAGCGAAGCCGGCAGCGGCTGCGGTAGCGGCAACAACAAATTCCAACTGCCTTTTCCTGCTGCCTTTTCTTTGCACAAATACAGCCACACAGAAACGGACACACACGCACACTCACTAACACAAACAAATACACAGAAAGCAACAAAAATTCTTTCGCTGCATTTGGTTTTGCCTCCTTTACTTTGCTTTTGCGTTTGAGTTTTTGATTTTGTTGTTGTTGTACTACTGCTGATGCTGCTGCAGAGGCGAACCGGTTTTGTTTTTGCACTTCACTTTGTATTTGTTGGCTTTGCCTGATGGTGCTGTTGCGCTGCAGCATGCAGTTGACAACAATTCAGAGATTGATAAAACTAAATTGAAATTTAATTTTCATTGCAAATAAACCCGCTACAGTTGCACTCGGCGGTTTTTCTCTTTGATTCCCATGCGTATGCACCGTTATTCCGTTTTCGATTTGCTTCTCCTTTGCACACCTACACGAAATCACCTCTTTTTCTATTGCTGTTTCACTCGCACTCGATATTTAGCCGCTCACATCGCCACGACGCGCTAACACCAACCGTTCTAAGTCGAAGTCGTATGCAGACTAATCGCTGCTCTTATACCTGTGATGTAAAGTACCGCTGCTAAACTCAAAATGCCTGTGCCGCGTTAACAGCAAATTTCTCTCATACTCGCGAGTCGAAACTCTCGACGTACTTAACAGTGGCAGAGCGCACGTTAGATAACATTTCTGCTAGCCCACTGATTCTCTTTTAATTTCTCAATAATTTATTAAATACACGAATTTAAAAATGTATTAAATATAGTTTATTGTGAACCTTACTAGTAGTCTATATACAAAGGCACATTCACTCAGTACCCAATAAATATATCTAAGATAAATTGTATTTCAATTCATTTACAAATAAATTAAGTTTTCTCCATTTGGTAACAAAAAAGTATGAATTTTACTTTTGAGTTATTCGTCAACAGTCCATATAAAAGTTAGTTACCGCTTCCAAAACTTGAAGTATTTCCACTTTTCAAATGGGCTCTAAAATTGATTTCATTTAGTTCATTCTTGCTTATAAATTATATATACTTATTTACTATTATTGACATATTTTCTATTGCTGACAACATTTTTGTCCACTGTTTTCGATCGTTGGAAGATGTGTACTCTCTATCCCACACAGATTAGTAAAATACATGGCCTCTGCTCCGATTTATGTCTACATGAGATGTTCTTTGATTGAAGAAATGGTCAACGCAGAGCGGGATCTATCTATTGCACAGATTCTTATTTTCCATTCTCTGTATTTTTTATATTCACCTGCTCATTCCACGTGTCTCTGCTCAGTTATTTCTCAATCAAGAATTGAATCATTCGTTCGTTTTAATATTAATTTCATTCGATTAAATATTACTTGCTCCGCTGTTGTGATTCATTTGTAGACCGAATATATCTTTGCCCTGTGTTGTGTTTGCTTTTTCCAACTAAATGCAGCTGCACCTCATTATGAATGCCTCCAATTCCGGTTGCCAGAATATAGATCTAAAATTAATACCAGATTAGAAATGTATTGAAAGATAAGGGCTTTTACTATTTGTATATCTTTCCATGATGTCTCACATGTGAAGATCGCTCGGTGGCTTGCGCTATGTGCAGTGATGTTACAGGTTCTGTTTAACCACCTCTGCGGGCAAGAGTTCCACAGGAATCAGGCGGAAGGCTTCGCCCTCCAGCGAGACATTGCAATACATTTCGCCTGGTCTGGGCTTCGCTTGCGGACTCAATGGCGTCACCAATTGCAGCACTGTTACTGGTCCCACAATCAATTGCTCCTTCTCCTGCTGCTGATTACTTTCCACAAGCTTGTCCTTCGTTAGTTTCGGCTGATCCGTTGGTCGTTTTTGCTCCATTGACTCTTCCATTGACTCTTGATCCGGGTTTAACTCTTCATCTGGCTTTTCGAAGTCCTCGTAGGCGAGAACTTTAATAGTGTGTTTGTTTATATCCTCCGTCGGATGCTTTTTGCTCATATGGCGCTTTAGATGGGCACGCGTGGCTGCCGCGTATGCACAACAGGGGCAAGGAAATCTTTTGGAGCGCCAGTGCTCCTTGCTGTGGGTCTTTTCGTGGCGCTGCAGATTGTAGAGCCGTTTACTCGAATACGAGCATTTGGGCACAGTGCAGCGAAATACAATGGAAAACTTCTTGTTTTTCATAACTTCCATCATTCAATTGCAATTGAAATGCGTAAATTTAGGTAAATTTAACTTTTATTATGATGCGCAGGCGATAGATAGTCATCCGATAACTGGTGGTGGCCAACCGATAAATCGCTCACACTGCATTCACACACCTGTTATTTATACCACAAAATTTCTCAAATATAAATTAAAGTTAAATTTAAAAAAACTATTAATTTGAATCTACATTAATTTTGTTTTTATATATATTTTTAAATTGTCATATATCAAAAAACTAAATTATAAAATACTGAAAAATACCGAACTTATTTTTGAATTGGTGTTTTACAGTCTGTTAGGAATGTGTGCATGTAATTTGCGCAGATAAACTCTTCACTGTTAATTTTTCTCTGCTTATGCTAAGACAGAATCTCTTAAGCTGTTGAATGCTACGCCGTTTACTTATTTTAACTGAGTAGCTGTTATTATTTGTGTTATTACAATGTTGTCACTGTTTTTAACTCTTATATGCTGTTATTGATAAATACGCGAAGCATCTATTACATTGTTAACAGTCTGTCAAAATAAATAACTGTGCTGGCTGCCTTCGCTGCTCTTTGATTGGCCACTTTTTCATCGAGCGCAAATAACATCGAAGTGGTCACAGTCCCAGTCCCATCCAACACCCACAAGTTCTGGGTCACTTGGGCACTTCTTGCCTTTACCTTTAAGGCTGTGTTCCGCAACAGCTGTTGCTCGGGTGCGGCGGCCGCCTTCGATTGCATTCGCCTCCTGTTATTGGGTGACAAAAAGAAAGCATTAAAAACATTTGTTGCCGGCCATTAGCCGCTTTTCTGTAACGGCTAAACTATTCCATTTCTTCGGGCGTCTTTTGTTATTGTGTGGGGTAGAAGGGTGAGCTCTTTAATGTACATAATATTTTCTATTCAATATTACTGTCTTCTTACAATATATTTAATTTAATACTTTGCTTGACATTTAAAATGTATTTTATATTATTATTTTTCATTTTTATATGTAAATAACCCTTCTTATATGTAAAGACAATATATTTAGAACAAAAATTATAATTTTAAGAAGTAGCATGACAAATTTTGCAATGCCTTGAAGCGCACGAAATAAAAATAAAAAATAAGAAGTTATCCTATATTTATTTATCATTGTATTGATCTACTTAATTATCACAAATATATTCAAAGTTTTTATATATCTAAAAAAAAATACTCAAAAAAGCCGAAATATGCATGCGCTGGTATTTTATTTTTCACAGCTATTTACAATACAGTTTGAATTTAAAGCTTTAAGCATTTTCATTAAACTATTTTTGCTCTCTTCGTATAACTGCATTTAAGGCAAATCTCATTTTTTCTGCATTTATGTAAATCATTTTCTTTTCGGGCAGGAAATGAAAATTTTGCAATAAACGTGAGCCACGGCCTGAACCCAAAGGTCAAACGCAAGCGGGACGAACTGGAACTGAGTTGGCCAAGTATCCAAGTGGCCAAGGTACCAGCAGGTAGCTCTTCCAGTGTGAAATGTAGCGTGCAATGAGTTTCATTAGCCCCCACAGTAGCCACTTACCATCCAGCCCTCTTTGCTCTCCTGCCAAGCACCCCCACGATACGGCCTCCCCCTTCCCCCTCACCAACACACTGCGAATTTTGCACACATGAATTTGCCACGCAAAAGCTTTCAAATTTCACGCCCTATTAGATAGCTCAGCATGTGGTATGGGGGTAGAGAGGTTGAGGTGGTTACGCCCAGCCTCCCAGCCGCCCAACTTCATTGACCAGGCAATTATCAGTGCTCGCTCCTGATTAGAGGCCAAAGGCTCTCAAATGCAGAATTCGAATTTCGTAGCTCGGCTGCAGCGAAGTCGGTTTTCCGCCCACTTCCGTTTCCGCTCGCCCAAACCGCTGCTGACAAAGGCAAAATTTATAATGCGGAATAAAGCTCAAATGTCATGTGAATAGCAGCAGAGAGCGCTGTGCTAGATAACAAAAGACAAGCCAGTTATTTAACGGCATTATGTAGATAACTGTAGTAGAGAAAGTCCTTAATATGCAGATAAGAATTGATAGACATTTATATTTTCTGATTTTAGATATTAAATATATATATATAAATTTATGTTTTGCAATAAATTAATTTACTACAGTGGACTTGAAATCATAATCATAATCAATGACAATAAACGAATAGTAACAATAAACGATTAAACATAAGAATAAATTTTGCTAGTAGTTAGCAAGAGTTTTCAAATCCCATTTTAAATATGTTTCATACACTCTAATTTTTAGCAATTTGTTTAATATTCGACAGCAACAACAATAAAATGTTAGCGAATGGGTCAAAAGGCGCCGCCGACTCGTGTTTGGAGGTTGTACAAGAAGTTGTTGTTGTTGCTGCTGTTGTTGTTGTTGCTAATCTGGTTGTTAAACAAGTAAACAAAATGTGACCAAGTGCCCAAAGCGACCATAAAGTAAACGTCTCAACGTCCAGACGATCAGCTGAAAGGAGTTGAACATGAGGGAGAAAGGGAGAGAGCTATAGTGTGAACAGAGGGAGAGAGAAGCGAGGTGTGGAGCTTGGCAACGCGAACTGAAGTGGAAGTAAGCCGTGTTTCGTTTTTCACAGAAGACGCGTCTGGGGAAAAAGTTTTAAGTTAGCAGAACAGAGAGAGAGAGAGAGAGAGAAAGACTGTGCAAAAGAGTAAGAGAGAGAGGGAGAGTGGTAGACGGACAGAAGCAAATTTTGTTTATATTATTTGTTTCTTTTTTGTTGGGTAGCTTTATTTGTTGTTCCAAGGAAAAGGCAGCCGTTAGCAGCTTGTTTGTTGTTGTTGGTGTTTGGGGCTGACGCTGGTGCTATCGTCTTTATGAAATCAGCCACGTGAGCCGAACAGCGCATCGTGAAGCAATACAGCAAAGCAACATTTGTCTTCTCGTTATGTAAAGTGAATAACATTAAAAAGTTGTAAATCAATTATCAAGTTTCTAATTCTAGTGGAATATAAGAATGGAAGAAAAACCTTTAAATAATACTTAACAAAAATGTAGGAAATGGGAGAATAACTTCAACATAAAAAGTTTATTTAATATATATGTATATATAACAAATTCAACTTTAACTAATCAATCTAGGCTTTTATTTTTAGTTATTAAATATTAATAAAGAATAATTAATAATTTTTACATAATAAATAAAATTGAAATTGTTTAATCTTAATTTTGACCCACTGTGCGCGTTTGATGTGACGTAGACAACTACAACGAAAACTACAACTACAACAACAACAACAACAACAACAAAGAGCGCTACAGACAACGCACTCTAAGTAGATGCAACTGACAATGTTTTTTTTTTGCGCTCCTCTGGCACTTTTTGCTCTTCTTCTTCTTCTGCTTCTTCGTCTGTTATTGTTGTTGTTGGATCGATGCTTATCCGAGCATATAAACAGCCTCTATGATACGCGCTCCACGACGGACTAACAATGCTAGTGTACAGTTTGGCAGTCACTGCGGAGCTCATTATGCGATTTATGGACCAGCTGCCGCGCATTGCGTGAGTGTGTGCCACGCCCTCCTGCCAGCCCACTCCCTGCTGCAGCAGCAGCAGCAGCAGCAGCTTTCATAATGCCCAGATAGAGCACAAGCAGCAGACGAAGCAGACGATAAATAACAATCAGGTAGCTGCCACAGTGGGTGTCGGTTGGAAGAGGGACGATGGGTGGGGGGTGGATGCCAGGATGCCACAAAAGGCGCAGCTGCAAGTGGCAATGCAGGCCACCCGCGTCAGCAGCAGCAACAACTGCAACTGCAACACGATGATGAGGAAACATTTTGACCAAAGTTTATGATGTGTTTGAATTTTGGATTTGGGATTTCGGATTTGGGCTTGAAATTGACCACGGCGTAGCTAGACTGGGATAAGAGGCGAAGTGAAAGTCGTTGCATATGCACATTGAGATGGGAGAGTGACGAATCAATAGATTGATGGATTTATGGATATATAAGTAATAAAATACATATATATGTTGGAATTTATATGTGAAATATATTCATATTATAGGATAATTCATCTGGAATTATCAGACCTATAACACAATTTATTTGCATTCAAATTTACATATTTTATTGTTAATTATATTAATTTTCTATTTGCTATTTTCATTTTCAATTTAAATATTTTATTCTAGTTCAATTTGATATTGCATTATACAATTTTTAAATATAGAACATATGTGCATATATCCTAATTCCTTAGGTACATTTAGGAATGTTATAGATTCTTTATAATATATTCAATATGTATGGGCTAAAATAACTTTTTTTAAGTGCCCATATCTGATATTGGAAATTATACATGGCATTATTAGGAAGGGATGATAAGTATTAGCAAATGCCAGATTGAAAGAGACCTTTTATTGAGTATTTCAGCAGGATTACGATCGTAAACTAGAGAGTCCTCTTGCTTAAACGTGGGTTGTCAAACCATGCCAGCTCAGTTTGGGTCTTAAATTCAATTGAAAATCTAAAGAACAATGCGAAGAGAGCCAAAAGCAGAGCTGTGCCAAGTAACACAGGAGGCGTGGTCACAAATTTCTCTGAAGTGGTGCCAGGACTTCATCGATTCCAAAAAATAGACAACAAAATAAATATAAGACATAGTAAATGAAGTTAGACGAATGTTAAATAATTATTATTTCCCTTTTTAGTAGCTTTTACCATGTTTTACTATAAAGCTTTAGAATATTAATAAAGAAAATATTTCTGTATCAGTCAAGGGCTACTGTAGCCATTGCGGTACTCTAAAGTTTAGTTTAATATTATCATTTCTATTAGTTTAATATTATTATTTTCTATTGCCTCTAAATAAATCGCTTATCCAACTGACGATTCAATTTGAGACTAATTCTGCAAGAATTTCTCTTAAATTCAAAGCTCGAATCGTGACTCACGACTCGCACGCACAGCCCTAGTGCGCTAGTGGCTGTCAAACTGTAAGGCAGTGTTGCAGCCACAGCTCACGGCTCACTAACCTCGTGATTTACTATATTAACGAGCCGAAGCTGAAACTAAAGACGGATCCAACAGAAAAGTTGGGCCAGACAAACCGG